CTTGTAAAAAATCAGATTTATGTAAGAGGGGAGAACTTTTAGATCATATTTAATTCTTTCCATGTTATCCTTGTCACCATATTACATGGTTCACTATACCCCATTGATTCTAGCTAATAGTTATTACCATTTAGTAAGTGTTTGAACTGCAAGGTCAGCGGTTCAAGTTCACCAGCTGTTCCTCAGAAACCCTATATAGGGTCACTATGGGTTGGAACCAATTCCACGGCACTTCACAACAACAACAACAACAACTATGTACCAGGCACAGTTTTATCCACTTGATACAGAATAGCAAACAAAGAGAAAAAAATCCCTAATCTCAGAGTTTAAAATCTAAGAAGGGAGATACAGTGAACAAATAAAAAATATATGCTGTATCATTTTTTTGGTATCATGAGGAATATAAAATAACGAGAGAGAGATGGTTAAGAGAAAAGAGTGTTGGAAGTGACGATATTTTATCTGGAAGGGCTAAGCAAGACAAATATTTTAAGCAGAGGTCAGAAGAAATTGGGGTCCTGCCATGCATATAATGAGGAGTAAGAGTGATCTAGACAGAGGGAACAAAGCCCAGGCTCTGAAGTGAGAGCCTCCAGGTTAGCTGTAACAGAGTAGTTACCCAGGTTTTCAAAGGATGTATGGTTTTCCCTGAGCCTCTCCAATTGCTCTGAGCTGCCCTAGACCTGCAGGAAGGTCACTGTTTGTCTTGGAGCTTGCAGCTACCTGGACAATAAAGGCTAGCCACTGTATCATTTCACCTCAGCAGAGGCTGCAGTGACTCCAGAGCTATTTGCATCCAACAAAATATGTCTGTTGTTGTGGTTAAGAATATGTCTTCTGTATTTAATTGCAAGGTTCCTCAGAGCATGGACTGAGTTTTATTCACCATTTATAAACCCTGTATTACAAAATTGTGCACAAAATAGGGATTAATACATATTGGTTAAATTTAAAATAATGATTTTTAGCATGGAATTACACTATGAAGCCATCCAGTTCAGTCTATTCTTTATACAAGAGTAAAAACTGAGGCCTAGTTTCTTGTTGTTGTTGTTGTTAAGCACCATCGAGTCAGTTCTGACTCATAGCGGCTCTGCATAGGGTTTCCGAGGAGTACCTGATGGTTTTGAACCTCCATCCTTGTGGTTAGTAATAAAGTGCCTATCCTAAAGCGCCACACCAGGAGCCCTAGATAAATGCAGGCAAATAAATAATTACTGGCAAAGTAGGACTGAGACCAAAACCAAACCAAACCAAACCAAAACCAAATCCATTGCTGTTGATTGTGAGTCACATCATATCAACACTACAGGCTTTCTAGGGTTCCTGAGACTGTAAATCTTTGTTACAGCAGACAGTCTTTCACCCATGGAGTGGCTGAGGGCTTTGGAGTGCAGACCTTGCAGTTAGCAGCCTAATACTTAACCCATTACACAAAGCGAGCTCCTTCAAATAGGACTGTTGTTGTTAAGTGCCTTTGAGTAAATTTCCATAACAACCTTGTATAGGGTTTCTGAAGAGTGGCTGGTGAACTTGAACCATCGATCTTACAGTTCAAATGATTTTGCAGTCCAGCGCATTAACCCACAGTGCCACACCAGGACTCCAAAATAGTAGTGTTGTGAAGTGCTGTTGAGCCGGTTCCGACCCATAGCGACCCTGTATAGGTTTTCCGAGGTGCAGCTGGTGAGCTTGAACTGCCGACCTTATAGTTCAAACGGCTTTGCTATCTGGCACACCAACCTACAGTGCCACACTGGTGGTGGTTGTGGCTGTGTGCCGTCGAGTGAGTCGGTTCCAACTCATAGCGACCCTGTACAGGGTTTTCGAGGCTGTAAATCTTTACCGGAGCAGAAAGCCTCCTCTTTCTCCCGCAGAACAGCTGGTAGTCTGGAACTACTGGCCTTGTGGTCGCAGGCCAATTCATAACCACTACGCTACCAGAGCTCCTTAGCACCACACTAGGACTCCAAAATAGGACTAGTATAAAAATGGGACAGCTGCTGAGAAGTGCCAGTCGGTTCCGACCCATAGCAACCCTGTATAGGGTTTCCGAGGAGCAGCTGGTGAGCTTGAACCACCGACCTTTTGCAGTCTGAACTGCAAACCCATAGCGAAACACCAGGACTCCCAAAAAATAGCACTAGCATACAAATATTATTTTGCCAAATTTGGTATTTTTGTTGTTATATACCATTATTTCCACAAATCTCAAAATAACAGTTAAGTCTTACAAAGATAAGAAAAATTAAATTTAAGCTAGCAATAATGTGAATAAAAAGGTTTTAAAGATTTTGCATGTTGAAAACATTTTCTTTTAAATATTTCAGAAAATATTTATAACTTTATTGATCCCACAATATTTGAGAAACAGCTTGTGGTATTTACCAAAGCAGCTGGATTCTCCGACTCCCCCGTGGTAGCAGCAGTATGCTAACAGAGAGAGAATTATTTGCCACAATTTTTAAATTAATACAGCTGGACGACTTAAGCTAGTGGCTTAGAAATTTTCAGAATCATCTAATTCTCTTGCTAAGTTTTGTCTAGCAAAATGCTAAAACCGGTTAACATAGCCCATAAATAAAAATAGCCAGTTACTTCGCTTTATTGTCTACGGAAATCTATTTCATTATGTGACAAGGACAAGGAAACGCCTCCCCCTCCTTTTTTATATTGTGGTGGTGGTTATGTGCTGTGGAGTTAGAACTGACTCATAGCGACCCTGTACAGGGTTTCCGAGGCTGTAAATCTTTACCGGAGCAGAAAGCCTCAGCTTTCTCCCGTATTATTCTTGTATTGGTGGATCTCATCCTGTCTCAATGGCATCTTTTTGCTTGGGAAAGCAAGAAAAAATGAGAGCCTATGAAAGTTAATGGAGTCCTGGTGTGGCGCTGTGGGATAATGCACTAAATGGCAAAGTCAGTTTGAACCACAAGGTCGGTGGTTCAAACTCACCAGCCGCTCCTTGGAAACCCTATACAGGGTCCCTACGAGTCAGAACTAACTCACTGGACTTAACGACAATAATGAAAGTTAATGAATTTCTATTTTTGCAGCGTTATTTTTGTGAGGTTCCTAAGACCATTCTCAAGTTTAGTAATTTTCTAGGGCTCGCAGAACCCAGAAAAGACTGTTTTCTCATATTTGCAATTTATTGCAGTGAAAGGATGCAGATTAAAATCAATAATGGGAAAAGACACATAGGACAGGGTCTAGGTGATATCAGGAACAGAGCTAACAGCTATCCTCTCCCAATAAAGTCATATATATGTATACATAAGGAGCTCTGGTAGCGTAGTGGTTACGAATCGGGCTGCGAACCACAAGGTCAGCAGTTCGAAACTACCAGTTGTTCCGCGGGAGAAAGATGAGGCTTTCTACTCCCGTAAAGATTTACACCCTCGGAAACCCTGTACAGAGTCGCTATGAGTCGGAACCGACTGTAAGGCACATAACAACAACAACAACAACATATATATACATATTGTCATCTAGTCTGTTCTGACTCTAAGTAACCCTGTATGGAGTTTCTGAGGGTTTGAACTACTGACCTTGTAGTTCGAAGTCCAGTGTTGACCCTACAATACCACACCAGGAGTCCATAAAGTCATATGGACCATATTTATTTCTTCCAGCAATGACGCATAACAATTTGTAGGGAATATTGTCAGCCAGGGAAGCTCACCTGAGTTTTGGTATTCGGGGCTTTTATTGGGGGCCCATCATGTTGACATGGACGACAGCTGCCCATTTGAGGTTAGTTTCCAGTTCCTCCAGAGGTTAAACTGATAACCAATGTTCCAAGTTCCCTACCAAAAATCATATTGTCGGTGCGTGGTGTGGCCAAAGATCCCGAGTCATACGGAGACATTCTTATCGGGCAAAGCATTCCCAAGGTTTAGAGGTTAGGATCTGGGGGCAAGGGCTAAATCTTTCCTTGAACAAGGCTAATCCTCTACTGCACAGTGTATTTTTTAATCAATCTGTAGTATACATTTCTAGAGATTAGGGCCTATCCTGTTGTTTCTGCCCTATACCAAACTTTTCTCTGATTGTTGCTGTTAAGATCTTCCAGTTAGATCCATCTCACAAAGACACTGTAAAGGGTTTCTGAGGAGTGGCTGGTGGGCCAGACTTGTGGTTAGCAGTCTGGTGCTTATCCTACAGAGCCACACCAGGACTCTCCATTATGGTACCTTTATGTCTTGATTTTTTTTCACATTGCCCTTTGAGCAAAAAGGAGTTTGTGATAATTGTTAGCTCCAAACAGGTGATGTTGTAATTCCCGCATCTCAGCTCTTAGATCACACGCTTTGGGGAGTGCGTGTGTGTGCGCTTGTGCCTGCGCATGGGTGTACGTGTGGGAAGGTGTGCGCCAAAGGGGTGGGGTGAAGGGCTGTGAGGGCTCGAGGTGAAACACCAGAGGAGGAAGGTCTTTGGCTCAGGCCTCTTCACCCCCACCCTCCCCGCCTAAGGGCAGAGACTTGCTAGATTTCTGGCTGCACCTCCTAGTGTGCGCCGCTACAGCGCCACAGGCCCCGCGACCCTTTGACCACCGCCCTCCGGCCGGCCCTCCCACTCGGCCATCAGCCAGGACCAGCGATGGCTTTGGACTGACCGACGCCTCCCCTGGAAACCCCCCCACCCCTGCCCAGGGCTCCTGGGGGGGCCGCTCCGCTAGGACCTGCATGCGGGGCGGGCACGCCCGCGCCCGGAGCGAGCGCCCCTTGGCGCCCCCGAGGCGGTGCCGGGCCGCGCCAAAGAACGAGGAGGAGGCGGAGCGGACCGGGCCAGACTCCCATTGCGCAGCAGCCCGGGAGCACGGGCTCCGGGGAGGGAGTTCGGGGCGTCCCGGCACCGGAGGAGGGACCCGGAAGCAGAAGCGGAGCAACGAGTGGAGTCTAGCCGCTGCCCCCGCTGCCCGCTGGCGCCTGTGAGGGTCCCGGCGGGGGTCCCGGCGTCTGGATGGGCAGCGGCGGCACGGGCCGCGGGAGGCGATGGGCGAGGAGCAGAGCACGGTGAGCAGTGGCGGCGGGCCCCTGGAGGCGCGGGTCTCCGCTGGTGGCTCCGCAGGCCACCCCAAGCCCTCAGGATCACTGGGGGACCGCGCGGGGGAGCCCAGGTCGCGCGCCAACTCCTTGGAGCCAAGCGACAGCAGCTGCGGAAGCAACTCGGACTGCGTGGACACGAGCGCCCAGGAGCCCGCGCGGAACCTGGGAGCCCTGGGCTGGAGGAAGAATCAAAAGCAGAGGCAGTCCGAGGGACTGGCACTCATCGGGCCTCTCAACCCCCAGACTTTGCAACAGCAATTGGAGGATAAGGAGGAAGAAGAGAAGGAAGGAAAAGAGGGAGGGAGAGAACAGCTTGGGGCGCCCCCCAGCGAGGAGCCAGAGACCAGGTCCCAGCTCTCGGACGGGCTTGTCCTGGACGTGCCTGGCCAGCAGTGCCTCCCGCCAGCCAAGAAACAGGTTTTCTGTTCAGTGTACTGTGTGGAGAATGACATGCCTGAGACCCCCACTAAGGAGCAGATCTCGCCATCCTCATTGCTATCTAGGGCTCCTCCGGTGCCTAGAACTCCCAGCCCTCCCGCTTCTTTCCCCAGACCCCTTCCAACTGACCCCCTCTCCCCCGATGGCGGCAGCATTGAGCTGGAGTTCTACCTGGCGCCCGAGCCATTCTCTGTGTCCACCCTGTTGGGAACTCCATCCTACAGTGGCCTGGGCGGGGCAGGGGATCCCTATGCGCCCCTAATGGTGCTGATGTGCCGGGTGTGCCTGGAAGACAAGCCCATCAAGCCCTTGCCGTGCTGCAAGAAGGCCGTGTGCGAGGAGTGCCTCAAAGTCTACCTGAGCTCCCAGGTAACTTTCCCCCTTCTGTAGCCTCTTCTGTACCCCATTTTTTAACACAAATCACTGGCCAGGAAGTCCTTCTTAGGAGCTCCCTGCCCTCAGGAAAAGGTAATGAGACACCTTTACTGAAGACTTCTCTTAGTCACATCTCAGTTGTGAGATGTGTGTGGTGGTTTACTTGACTTGAATTAAATTTTTCCGAGCTTCAGGATTTGGTTGGCAGCTGTAGAAGGAATAGGGTACAGTGATTTGTACTTTATTTCCTTTACTAGATTTGCAAGCAAGAGCTGGCTCAAAAGGAGGGCAGAGAGAGTGTCTCACTGGCGTGGTATTCCAGAAACTAACAAGTAGTGGGCATATAATAAATGTTTATTAAATTGGCAAAGGATTGAGATTCAGATTTTTGATCCAAGATACCTGAATTGTGTGCCATGTTGCTGTGCCAAATATTCCAGCGAAGGGTACTTATTTTTATTCTCATTGATTCAGTCCCTGGCCCATGGCCCACTTTTCTGTTTTCTTTTTCCAGTAAAGTTGAAGTACTTTTCTTCTCTGAAGTTGTAAGCCAGTACTTTATTTTTGTAATAAGGAAACAAAACAGAAGTATCAAAACAAAGAAAAGTTAGCCTAAGAAGTTTTAGCAAAACAATCACTGGTGGTTGGTGAAACTTTCTTCCTTAGTCCCTTATTTGAAAGCATTTTTTGTTTTCTTTTGGAAAGTTTCAGAATGCAGTAGACCAGCCTTCCTTCATTGAGAGTGAATGCATTCTTCTAGCAGTTTTCAGTGTGTTATTTCTCTGCCAGTGTTTTGCACAATCCGAAATGCCCTTTGATCCCTGTCTGATTATCCTAAGCCTATTCCTCTTTCAAAATCCTGTCTGTTGAAGTGCCAGCTCTTCTGTGTAGCTTTACCTCAACCTCCATCCCTCAGGCCACCACTTAAATACTATCCAAATACTTCTTAGTGGTTTCTGTGTGCTGAAGTTGTTACTTAGGTGTCTTGCTAAACTGGGGTGGACATTGTTTCGGAGTCCCCAGATACCGTTGTCACATAGCGGGTGTTTAATAAGATTGATAGAAGAAATCTGAACCAGGGTATACTCATTACTGTGATCCTGTACCCTATATTTTGTAACTAATCATGCGTGGGTTAAGGCTGAAAGTGTGTTTGGTGTCCAACTAAAAATGCAAAGGGAAACAAACAGAATGGAGTGTTAATGCAAACAATAACATGGTCAAGATACTTCTAATTATCCAAACAAAATAATGGGCATAAAATAGTGAGAGACTATGGTGTCTCTTTCATGCTGTATCCAGAAACATAACTTATTTAAAATGGGAAGAATGTCTGAAGCTCATTGTGGTAGTTTCTATGACATCACCATCAAACAAATATTTATATTGATATCTTCCTTGTGCCAAGTCCTGTAGTGGGATCTTACATCATTACCACTTGGGCCTTACACCATGAAAGCCACTATGAGACCATATGTGTACATAAGAACAATACAAGGTAGCCTGTAATGAGATGTAAACACTGCAACAATACAGGCAGTCCCCGAGTTACAGACCTCTGGCTTATGTTCAACCCAGCATTATGAACCAATCCTGTAAAGCCTATTAAGAATTTGAGATACATAGAAAACATGATGAGTCATGCATGTGGGCATGCGTCCACCTCAGGACTTTTCATACTTAAGATTCACTGTGCCATCATCCCTCTCCCCTCCCCCTCAGATCTGTATTCAAATGTCACCCATGTGGCCTTCTCTTTTGTTGTTGAAATGTTGTCAAGTTGGTTCCAACTCAGAGCAACCCTGTATAGAGTTTCTGTAAAGCGGCACATAAGTTTGAGCAGCCAGTTTTGTGGTTAGTAGTCCAATGCTTATCCTCCAGCACCATACCAGGATTCTGTTAGCACCCATTTGAAATTGAGCCTTGCTCCCACCCCACTCCACTTGCCATTCCCTTTCTTGCTTGCCTGTGTTTTCATACCTCTTTTAGCCTCTCTCTGCCTGTTTCTTCAGTGAGAAATAACTGTAGACTATGAGCTGTAATAACCCACCAATTCTCAAGCAAAACACAGTCAAGCTGCATGGTCGTTTTGCTGCCTTACTGAATGAGAGCAAAATGAAATGGTGCTTATTTCTTATTGGGTTTCTTAGGTTTGACAAAAGGAAACCTGTCATGTCTGAATTTGCAGGACTTCTGAAACCTTTTAAAATAATATTCAGTGTGAATTGGAATATTGTGTAGTTAATTTAAATTTTTCTGATGAGGGATGCTGAGTTCTTTGAAAGACGATCAGAACTTGGGAGACTGGATTTGTGGCTAAGTTTCCTTCCATTCGTGCTAAGGACTGAATGTATGGCAAAAGCCAATAAGGAGGTGTCATCAGTATCTTAAGTACAGACATAGCAGATTAGGCAGTGAATTAATACCTACATACTGTGTATGAATAACAGGTTTTCTTTTTCAAAACATGATTTTCCCTGTGGCTGTCACTGGCGCTGGGACTCCTGTGAAACGGCGTAGTAGGTGCTGTCCACTTTCTGATTGCCTTGATGGAGAGGGATTGCAGTGATAGATTTTGCTGGTTTAGAGGCTCCAGTGTACTAAGCCAGACAGACACTGGAAGTTACATTGGTTTATACTATATAACAACAAAAAAACTAAAAACCTTTCCCATCAAAATACCACAAAAACACACTGCTTTTGAGTTGATTTTGACTTAGGGTCTTTGAGACTAAACCTTTATAGGAGTAAACAGCCTCATCTTTCATCCAAAGCATGACTGATGGATTTGAACCATCGTTCCAGAGTAAATAAATCCTGGATATATAAAGTTTAGATGCGCATTTACTATTGTCCCATGTTGTATATGTGAATATGGCTAATGCACACAAACCCAGTGATGTCTGCCGTCTCCTATTGGCCACTGAGCCCTCCCAAGTTTGGAGCTTCTTGTCTGATTTGGCCTTCAGTGCATTTTTCCTAGGAAGAGAGATTTATTATTGGTTGCTTGTATTTGTTTCATAGAATAATGTTGCCATCATTTAGAAATTCTCCACAGATATATTTCCTTTTTGATTTTGGTTTTAGGTAGGAAAATCTGTTACAAATATGAAGCATTACCATTTAGTACTTTAGGCCCTGAGGGGATTTCTAAGGTAACAGCTGCTGTGGCTTTCACCATTCTGCTTAAAAGTGCTATGAATCGGCAGATGCGTGTAAATTGGAATGCATACACCTGTCAAAAGGGTATTAATAGAGACAAGCAACATGTTTCTAAAGATTGTGAATAAAACAATTGCTAGGAAACTAATGCTCTTAAATGATGGTTTTCTACTGTAGTCACCCTAGAATCAGTGACCTAGGCTAGGGGTGAAAGTTTATCTCTGCGTCATTCAGACTTTCATATGGTGAAAGTGTACCATAAGTTTTCCCCCCTTAATACACATATATTTTAGATATTTGTATACAAAAAATTAAACCTACTGGCATCAAAGGAGCTCTGGTAGCTTAGTAGTTACGACTTGGGCTGCTAACCTCAGGGTCAGAAGTTCGAAACTTCCAGCGGTTCCGCGGGAGAAAGATGAAGCTTTCTGCTCCTGCAAAGATTTACAGCCTCGGAAACAAAGTACTCATCACCACTGCCATCAAATCAATTCTGTGTCATAGCCACCCTCTGCTGTAGGGTTTCTAAGACTGTAAATTTTTATGGGAACAGACAGCTTCATCTTTCTCCCGTAAGCCGCTGGTATACTTAAACCATGGAGCTGTGGTTAGCAGTCCAATGTTTATCGTACAGTGAAACCAGGGGGTTTTAAAAAATAACCTGGTGATTCTTTGTCTCCTAAAGAAGACTATAGAAAGTGCCATGGGCTTCCAGGAGAATCAGTAGATCTGTATTGGAAGAAGTGCAGCCCAAGTGGCTCCTTCGAGGCCAAGATGGTCAAACTTCATCTCTCATACTTCGGACAAATTGTCAGGAGGGACCAGTCACTGGAGAAGGATATCATGTTTGGTAAGATGGAGGGTCAGAGAAAAAGAGGAAGACCCCCAATGAGATGGATTGGCAAAGTGGCAGTATGATGGACTCAAGCATGGCAACAGTAGTGAGGTTGGCCTAGGATCAGGCAGTGTTTTGTTCTGCTGTGCATAAGGTTGCTATGAGTTGGTACCGACTCGATGACACCTAACAACAACAACAGCGACAACAACAGAGTGGAGCCAATATTTTTATGTTGTTGGTGTTAAGGGCTGTCAAGTCAGTTCCAACTCATAGTGACCCTTATAGGGTTCCTGAGGAACAACTGGTAGTTTTGAACTGCCGGCCTTGCTGTTAGCAGTCCAGTGCTTATCCTACAATGCTGCACCAGGACTCTGTGCTTGATACGGAGCCATAAAAAAGAGAGTAATTAAATGTGAACTTAATCTTTTTATTATGAATTTGTGATGGACAATTTAGGAACATACTTGGGTGATGATTTCTTACATTTAATGTATTCATTTATCATTGGATCACTTACACATTTAGCAGACCGTGAGCTAGTGATACTCTATAAATGAGTGAAATGCCTTCAAGGGGTCATCTTGTTAGAACAGTGTTATTACTAGGCTGGGGAGGAGATGGACAATAAAATAAATGACTTAATATATTAGAAGATTATAAGGACTATGAAGAATGAGTAGTAGGGGAAGGATGATAAGGAGAAGGAGCTATTTTTCGTATTTTTTATTATGTTTTGGAGCGTTGTCAGGGAGGGTTGCTTTGCAAGGTCACTTTTGAGCAGAAACCTTCTTGTGGGAAATGAGGGAACAAGCTTTGAGGATGAATATATAGCAGACTAGCAACTGCAGTGTTCCAGAGGCAAGAGCATGCTTGAGACAGATGTTCAGGAGTGACAAGGAGAGCCATGTGACTGAAACATTGGGAATGAGTTGGGGTGTGGTAAGATTAGCCCAAGAGGGGTAGGAGAAGCAAGTCACTTTGGACTTCAGTTTTC